AGGACCAGGGGGGGGGGGGGGGAGGAGCGGGAACTGGGTGGAGGTGGGCCAAGGGGGGAGGGGAAAAATGGAGGCATCTGCAGTAGTGTCAACAAAAACGTTTAAATAATAAAAAACATTTAAAAAATTCTTTAACAGCCCAGCCAGCGTGGCTCAGTGGTTGAGCGCCCACCTATGGAGGCTCCATTTTGATTCCGGTCTGCGTTGCTGGCTTCATTGCTAGTAGGGGGAGCCGGGGAGGGTGTGGGGCGCAGGAGGCAGCCAATCAATGATTCTCATCATTGATGTTTCTCTCTCTCTCTTCCTCTCTGATAATCAATAAAAATATATTAAAAAATAAAAATAAAAAAACAGATTCACATTTACAAGAGTAGATGCTTAAACTTTTAAGTATAAATTAATTACACCTAATGAAAGTGGAATTCTGGCTCCTCAGTCACACTAGTCACGTTTCAAGTGCTCAATAGAAACATGGCTGGTAGCTGCCTTATTGGACAGTGCTGCTCTGGAGTTCACCTCTGGCTAAAAGAAATCACAAAAGATACAGTTAACTGGCCATGAGCAAGTAATCAGACAAATTCAGAGTGCAGTGCATTGTATAAGACATACGGCTCTTTGAAGAAGGCATGCTCTTCATTCAACATCAGAGTCAACATCATGAAAAAGTAAGAGGCAGGTATGCAAGAGAGAATAAAGAGACATGACAACCAAACACAATGCTTGCCTCTGCCTGGATCCTGAGTCAAGAAAAAAATAAAATAAAACTGACATAAAAGACATCTTTAGGACAGTTGGAGAAATTTGGACTATACAGTAGATGAGCTGGAATTATTATTTTTCTTAAGTGTGCTGATGATATTGGATATTATATGATAAATGTAATTATTCTTCGGAAATGCATGAGAAAGTTTAGGAGTGAAATGCCATAATGTCTGCAACTTATTTCAAATAGCTAAGGTAAAAAGTGTGTGTGTGTAATGAGAGAAAGATAATGTGAAACAAAGTTACCATTTGATGAACCTAGGTATGGTGTATGTATTATTCTTTCATTCTTTCAGCTTTTATGGAGGTCTAAATTTTTCCCAAATACTATTAAACTATGCTCATTTGTTTTATTTTTATTTATTTATTTCAGAGAGGGAGGGAGAGGGAGAGAGAGAGATAGAAACATCACTGATGAGAAAGAATCATTGACCAGCTGCCTCCTGCATGCCTCACACTGGGGATGGAGGCTGCAACCCAGGCCTGTGCCCTGACCAGGAATCGAACCCTGACCTCCTGGTTCCAGGTCAATGCTCAACCACTGAACCACTCCAACCAGACTGAAGATTACATTTTTGAGAAGAGGGGCAGAATGTTAACCATTGAACAAATGCATGAACAAAATAATTAGTATGTATTACCAGTGCTCAGAAGTCATTAAAAGACATTGTTGGCCGAAGGAGTGATGGTGGGTGTGGGTGAGGACTACTTTCTGTTAACTGGTCAGAGCAGGCTTCTCAAAAAGGTGACAGCTGGTTCGAACCCTGAATGGTAAGAAGGAAACAACCATGGGAAGATCTAGACACAGAACCTTCTGGACAGAGGAAACAGTAGAGGCCTGGAAGAGGAAAGGAGCTTGCTGTTCAAGAAACTGAATGAGGCCCCTGTGGCAAGAATACAGGAGAGAGGAGGGGAGTGGGGCCTGGAGATGAAGGAGTGGGGCCTGAGATGAAGGCTTGAAGAGTTCCTGTGGGACCCAGCAGATGGCAAGGAAACTGGACTTTATTTTAAGTGCAATGGGAAACCGCTGGAGGGTATTCGGCAGGGGAGCAATGGGTTGATTGATGCACAGTGTCATTCAGACCGCCCCACGGAGAATGGTGACAGAGGGCAGCAGAGAAAGCACAGGATCCACTGGAACCTGTCCAGTGGTCCAGGAGAGGTGATAGTGGCTTGCGTCAGGAGAAGCAATGGAGCTGGAGAGAAATAAGTGGACCAATGGAATGCTTTGGAGGGAGAGCAAAGGGACCTTCTTATGCAACACTAGGGAAGACAAGGAAGTGAAATGAATCAAGGGTGATTTGCAGGTTGTCACCTAAGCCGCAGGGAAGACAAAGATTGGGGTCCGGGAAGGAGACAAGAACTCTCTCATAGCCATATTAATTTGATGTGATCCTTAGTCCTTCTTCTGAGGGAGTCCAGGGGCCAATTATATGAAAGATGTATATTTGGATGTCATCAGGTTGTATTTAAAGCGGAGAGCCCAGAGGAGATCATAATTTACTAACCAGCATCCTATTAGGAGCATAGAGGTTGTTTCTGATTTTTTAATTTTTATAAATAATGCTATGATGGACACCTTTTATATAAACACTTTTATATTTCAGATTATTTCTTTAGGAAACACTGCTGGAAAAGGAACTCCTGAGGCTCCCCACC